TTCAGGCAAATTACAAACAAATAGTTACACGATCAAGGGCGGATCCAGAGGGGGGGGGGGTCATAGGGGTCATGACCCCCCCCCCCCCCCTGGGCTGGGTCCATCTGTACCCACTTCACAATCTGTACCCATTGTGACTTGACCACGACTATATGACCCCCCCCTGGCGCCAAAGCTGGATCCGCCCTTGTACACGATTACATACCCGTCATAGATGCTGTTCGCCCATAAACATCATCCAAATCCCACAAAATTCGTCCAGCTTGGTAGTCTTCGAAACATCGCTGGAAAACTTTAAAACTCACTTCCCGCGTGCCAGTCCGATTTACTTTACTCATTTTTATACCTTTCTGCGTAGTTTCGTCTTAATTTATTACAGTTTAATCCAAACAATAAAAAATACAAAAGGAAAACTGTTCCACAACTGAAACTCAATGACAGCTGATGTACATAAGTTTGGTGTTGCCAGACACAGGAATAATGTTAGTTCCTCAAACATTCATGTCACGACTTTACAGACAAACTATACTGCACGGCGTTTGTGTCGATCTATCAATACAATGTCTGGCTAATAAGCCACAATAGTCCTGATTTTATTTATTTTTTAAGCATTTAACTGCATGATGTTTAAATCTAAAGAAAAGTTTACTAGAAAAACATCCACGCGGACCAGGCAGTGGACGGGACTCGAACCCGCATCCTTCGCTATCCGGGCGAATGCACTGACCACTATGCTACCACGGCCCTATTAGCCGCGTCGAAATTTTCCTAGCCTTAAGCTGCAAGGCAGCGCCATCTCTTCGCATTGTAGGTAAGGGTTCGAGTCCCGTCCACTGCCTGGTCCGCGTGGATTTTTTTTCTAGTAAACTTTTCTTTACACAATAGTCCTGTCTGTAATGATAGATCCCAATATAATGTGGCATGGCTATTTTCAAGAACCTGTTCTGGAGCATACCTGTAGTAAGGAACCTCGAATTCTAAAAGATTGTATTTAGGCAACTAGCTAGACAACTAGTTGCCTAGCTAGCTGTCTAGCTAGTTGCCTAGCTAGCTGTCTAGCTAGCTGCCTTGCTAGCTGTGGAACTAGCAGCCTAAATAGCAGCCTACCTACAGTAAAATTCGTTTCAGATGATTTCACAAGAACTCAACCGAAAACGCGTTTTAAGCGGGAAAGCGTATTATGCGGGATTACGGGATTCCTTATCCCATACCCGTCTAAAACCAAATCTAAAACGTACTACATGGAGGTATTTACTAAATTCTATTATTTTTTCGAATAAGGTTTTAAATGTTATATTAAAGAATTATATATAATATTGAAGAATTATGCACGTTATAAAAAATGTAGTGTAGGTATTATTATTACGTTATTTAAAATAATCACTTATTTTACAAAACGTTTTTTTGTTGCCAAGCTAGCTGCCTAGCTAGCTGCCTAACTAGTTGCCTAGCCAGCTGTCTAGCTAGTTGCCTAACTGGCAGCCTAGCTAGCACCATAGCCAGCTGTGGAACTAGTTACATAGCAGCCTAGCTAGCTATCCTGCTAGCTATCTAGCTAGCTGTCTAGCTAGTTGCCTAGCTAGCTGCCTAGCTAGCTGTTACCTAGCTGGTAGCCTAGCTAGCACCATAGCCAACTATGGAACTAGTTAGCAGCCTAAATACAGTAAAATTCAGCCTAGCTACAGTAAAATTCGTTTCAGACGATTTCACAGGAACTCAGCCAAATACGCGTTTTAAGCGGGAAAGCGTATTATGCGGGATTACGGGATTCCTTATCCCATACCCGTCTAAAACGTACTACATAGTGGTATTTATTAAATTCTATTATTTTTTCGAATAAGGTATTAATTGTTAATAAATAATAGGCTGATGATGATTAAATGTTAATATTTAAGAATTATGTACGTTATAAAAAATGTAGTGAAGGTATTATTATTACGTTATTTAAAATAATCACGTATTTTACAAAACGTTTTTAAATATAAGTATTTTTTTACGAACTTAGTTTGGCAAAAACATTTTGAGACATTAGCAATTACAAGATTAACAACATAATTTGTTATAATTTATTATTATTATTTTAATAATAAATTATTATTTAATAATAAATTTTATTAAATAATAATGGGGATGGGTTTTGGCTGAAAGGGGATCTTCCCCATCCCAAGCCCATAAAATCGTTGGCCACTTTTTAGTACCTACTTATTTAGGAAATAGTACCTTGACGGTCTACAATTTTATACCCATGATAGGTACTTTAAAATTCCGGACAAATAACCATTTACAAGACCCATGAAAACCACAAAAATAAAAAGCCATGTGCTAAAAGCATATTCATTCACCTTGCTTCACAAGTTTTCTTTATGGCTGCATCATTCTTTCATTCATTTTTTACACAATGGTAAGCAGGAATCTTACGCCCCATTGTAAAAGCTAATAACAAAAATATTAGTTGAATCAATGATAATTAATGTTTTTTTTAATAATTAATCAAGACTCTAATACATTATGTTACAATAAAAACATATTTTTGATAGCGTAGTAATTATTTTGTCTAATTTATTGAACATTATTAAGAGGTTGATTTAGGCGTGTATATTAATGCACAACTTCAAACGCCTGAATCTTTTATCGGCGTGATCGATATACATATCTCCACAAAATTACAGCTCTCCAGTGCTAATAGTCTCCAAGCAAAACCGGGGACGGACAGACGGACATGACCTTACTATAAGGGTTCCTTGTCACGACTACGGAACCCTGGTTATCACCGAGGAAAATATTCTACTTTTCGTACCATTTGCGAAAAAATTAACACAATAATACTATGAGATAAGCATTTATTAAAATAATGACAATTAAAAGTAAAAGTTAACATTCGAAACATTGGTCCAATTAAATAGGGCCTCGTCGGTTTTAGTAATTTTATTTAATAATCATAACTGTACAATAAATGCGTATTCCTGTTTCAAAAAGATGTATATTGCTTTTTATATACAAACTCAATGGTGATAACACAGATGTAGTTCAGTATAAATTTCGGTAAGTATTCCAAATTTAAATCACATTCTCCACCTAGAGGATGAAAGAAATTCAGTACAATTTTCTTTCCCTGTTTTTAACAGATTAAAAATGACTATTGTTATGTTCGCTTTTTGTGGCATAGAATGTCACTTTTTTGAGCAAGTGGTACGAAAATATTATTTTAATAACAAATTGACTTGCAGTGCGTCTTCGCTTTGATTCAAAGAAGTTACATAGCGTCTTAAATCATTAAGTGCTGATAATGCCTGGGTGTGTGACAAAATCGGAGTTGACTCATCTTCTTCTTGATCATTATCACTTAAGATCTATTCTTGTGTGTTATTCACATTCTTAATAAAATCTTAAATTGATTAAATTTTGTACGATGCCACAATGACATCCGTGAAAGAATATCCAGGAAAACCCTGCTGTATTACGGGTTCTTCTTCTTCCAGCACGACGTCAACCTCGTTATTTCTGAAACCTGCTTTCTTGAAACAATTTGGAATGGTGTCAGGCTTAATTACTTCCCAAGCTGCTGCAATATTTAGAATTTGCATAGTCAAAGGTCGCTTGCAGGGTATTCAATTTCGCGAAGATAGCGATGTACTTATCATGTTCCATAACCTCGTTTAAGGACGATTGCCCTGATCCATCGGTTATAAATTGCTTGTCGAAATTGGAGGAAAGTAAAAAAGCTTTATTCTTTAGTTCAACACGTTTAAAATAGCTCATTTTAGGGCAGTTGACAATGAAGAGAATTATGCGTCTACACTTAATCTAGAAGTGATCATCAATAGCTTTTAACCAATCGATAAAACGAATGTCGATCATCCGAGCTCAAGATTGTGGATCATATGTTACAGGGAGCGATCTTACGTTCTTGAAGCAACGTGGATTTGGCGTCTTACCAATCACCAGCAAACGTAACTTTTCCGACCCATCAGAATTGGCACAGGACAGTCAGTCTCTCTTTATTTGCTTCGCACCATGACAAGTTTCTCCCTTGAAAACACAGGATTTATATCTAGCACTAGCATCAATTTAAAAAATAAACCGAATTTGTCTACGATAGAAATGTCTCGCGGTTCATAATTTTGAAGAATTCGGGAAGTGTTGCCATCCATGTATCAACATCTTGTTGGACGTCAGTTGCTGGCCGTTGCCGCATGAGGTAATATGTGTGGTACGTGTTGGTAGTTGCCTAGTTAGCAGTCTAGCTAGCAGCCTAGGTAGTTGCCTAGCTAGCAGCCTAGTTCGTTACCTAGATAGCAGCCTAGCTAGCAGTCTAGCTAGTTGCCTAGCTAGCAGCCTAAGTAGTTGCCTAAGTAGCAGCCTAGCTAGTTGTCCAGCTAGCAGCCTAGCTAATTGCCTAGCTAGCTGCCTCGCTAATTGCCTAGCTAGCTGCCTCCCTATTCTAATTCCAAAGCAATGATATTTCAGTATAATTTTGAAATCTTCTCTCGTTAGTGAGACTTGTCAAGGAATATCTCTATTTTATTTTTTTAAAGGATCGATATTAGTTTTTAAATAAATAAACTGCAATTTAGTAGTAAGTTATATTACTTTTTTACTTATAAAATATATATTTTCAAAAAAGTTAAATATTTTTATTTCCCTTGTTTATTTTCTAGTTTATTGTCTGTGTATCTTATACCACACAATTCGGAGTCGGAGAATAGCCAGCGCGTGGGGACTAAATATTGCCATCATGCTTACGCCACAATGTGAGAACATCTCTCTGTCACACATATGTGTACACGTGATTATAAAAACTCAGGCTGGGTGTGTGCGTTCACGTGTATGTGACTTGGCCTGATTTTTTCATTAGCGTTTTGTATGCGCAGGGCCAGTCCATACCTCTTATTTTGGTTGAAGATATAAAAATAAGTTTAAGAGCCTCTGCACATATTTATGCATTTTTGAACGCAGCCAAATACGTGGTGTAAAAAATGTCAAATAGATTGTCTTGTCATTGAATGTCATGTCAATGAATGATCGTTCCGAGTACTATTTTGGTCATATTTTTAGTTCTATTTCGAATTAGTAAAAGTTATTAAGAAAAATGTTTATGAGGCCAATAATTGTAACATTACTTTTATCGTTAATCAATGGTATATTTACTAAAAGCGTGGAACTGACATTCGAACTTCCAGACAGTGCCGTAGAATGTTTTTACCAGGAAATAGAGAAGAATACATCGGCGGCATTAGAATATCAGGTAATTCGTAAAATGTGCTTATGAAACCTACTACTAGTTATGGCTTTTAGAGTTGACTATAAATTACTGAAGGACATACCCTTTTAGATTTTCTGTACTGTATTCAACTTACTAACTACAAGATATTCCTTGCAGGTAATAACAGGCGGACAGTACGATGTAGATGTTAAGATCGAAGGACCAAATAGGCAAATAATCTATCAACAACAAAAAATGCAATATGACTCGCACCAATTTACTGCACAATTAACAGGTACTCTTTGCATACTTATATTTATATATTCGTTCAACAATCTCTGTGACAGAAAAGTCACAAAATTATTATTTACATACATTTCTGTCATATAACTTTAACAAAAACTTTTTAACAGGTGTCTACAAAGTTTGCTTTAGTAATGAATTTAGTACATTTTCTCACAAACTTGTGTATATGGAGTTTAATGTTGGCCCCGAGACACCTTTACCCGGCATAGGAGAACATGCAACTGTACTTACCCAGGTATTTTTTCTCAAAAATGATATTCCTGTAGAATGAGATACTATTTAATAATACATTCAGAAATCTACATGCTATTTATGTTCATAAAATAATGTTCCAGTTGGAAACATCGGCTGAAGAAATACACTCTGCATTGAACAGAATTATAGATCATCAGACTCATCACAGACTGAGGGAAGCACAAGGGCGTAAGAGAGCTGAAGACCTAAATGAAAGAGTATTCTGGTGGTCAATGGGAGAAACACTGGCAATTATCTGTGTAACCTTTGCCCAAGTTATGATATTAAAGAATTTCTTCAGTGACAGACCTACATATAATAGAATGTAATATTAGATAATTTAATAGAATATTTATTAAAAGATCAAGTTTTTCTTTTTGATTAATTGATTGGTTTTATTTTGTCTGTGTACCACTATTAAAACTATGATCTAAAAATATAATACAAAGACAAATAAATTGGTGATTAATATTTTGTGTTATTATCCAAATTATTACTACAAAAAATGTTATAAAATATTTATTTACATATTACATCTGGTCAGGTTGATTTTTATTATTGAGAATTTACAGACAGCCAAGTGCCTAATTATCAAAAAAAATCTCCTTCAGCAATATCTTAAATATGAATACAACTATGAAAGCTATAAAAATTATTAGTTATTTCTCAATATATTAGCTTTCAAGTAGATTGCAGAAAAAAGTTTTTTAACAATTAGGCCCCAAGTATACATAGAATTCTATTGCTAACTAAAATACAAAACAAGGTTATTCTCTTTTATTACAAATAATAAATTGAATTAATTAGAATAGGACTAACAAAGCAAATACACCATTGACTAAAGCACAAGGATAAGCTATCAAAGGTCTCTGCTCTGAATCACCTGACATAGTTACAAAAAGTCTGCTTGCAGATAATGCTGACCATATTACTGCTATTCCTGATAAAGAAATGCCAACAACTCCCTCAAGAGAGACAAACACTCCTAGTCCAGCAAGAACTACCATGGGTAGCATACAGTATCCTAACACACTAGCTACACTCAAAACTGTAAAGACACCTTCAGTTCGACTCATGAGTGATAGTAAGAAATACATTAAAATTACAGACATAACAGATAAGCCATAAACATAACCAAAGTGTGCTTTGTTTCCTGACAAAAATAAACACACAGCCAATGCTAGGCAAAATGCAATCGGGCCTGCAATATCCGTGTCTCTTAGTAAGAAATTAGCATCGTCTGCTTTTGATTGTCCATGAAATGGATTCAACACAGCCAATGTCTTCTCCAAGATTCTATCTGGGTATATTTCTAATTCATCCAATAGTGGAGGTTCATCAAACTCACTTGCTTCTACATTGGTCTCTCCTGGTATTGGTGCCGGTGTAAATAAATTTGGATTGTAATATTGGTTATTGTTTGCTTGCATAGAACCTTGTCCTTGATCATATGAGAAGTTTTGTTGTTCAGTAGTGAATGTTTGAAAGTCTGGAATGAGAATGAATTATCTATACCGATAAAATTTTATTTATAAAGAAAACATCAAATTATTTCGAAATATATACTGAATAATCTTACCCAATGTTTGAGCTGTATCAGGAAATGTTGTGGTTGTATCAAAAGAGTAATTTTGACTATTATTTTGAGATTGCCAGGTATATTCATTTTGGTTATAATTAGCCATTTCGCCCTATTTAAATATACTGATAGTCAATAAATCTAAACGACAGAAATCAGGTTTTTTAGCCGTTTTCATTCATCGAAAATTTTTGTCTTCTGATTTGTCTATTTTGATAAAATCGTACACGTCACGCATATCACTCACTGTCATAGTGACATTTCATTCAATTCACAGGCAGGGCTGCCAACCGTAGAATTTCTCATATGCCTAAAATAAAAATATGTTAAACATAGAATGGTCCGAATACTTTATGATTTATGCTCCAACATGCTGTCTACAATGAAAAATCATGTAACAAATTTGGTGATAAAATATTTGTTCTAAAAAGCATCTACGGATATGCAATATTCTCATCTTTTTAACACAGTAAATGTTAAAAAAGTTAGCGAATAGGCCGGCAGAAATCTTGTGATTTGTACGAGAAACGTCGTACAGTTGGCAATCCTTCCTGTTCACCTCTTTATAATGCATCGAGTTAAAAATCGCTCTGTCTGGTTGGAATAGATGAGTCCATGGGCTGGAGCAAAGACTGACAGAGTGAGTAAAATAGATATAATATCGTGCCTTTACGATAATTAACAGTACACTGAAAGATGTAGTTACCTATGGTACCGCTGACCTCAAAAATATTGCACGTTAAGCCTATAATGTACTCTATGGTTAAGCCAGGGACATACGTGTCGTGTCGTGTCGTGGCGCGCTAGAAGCACATCGGTTTCATAAAGTTACTGAGCATTTTCCAAAAAAAAAGGTGTACTTGTATTGAATTTATGGTTATTTATAAGATATCCCATTTTTGACGATTTTTTGTATTAGATATTACTAAGATACATGATAGTTTATGACAGTATATTTGATTTGTTGGAGATTAATTTATTATACGAGAAATCATCAAATTAAACTAGCTCTGAAGAATAAAATGTCAGTTTTGCGACTATCTTAAACGCTAGTTATCTACTATGAAGAAAGACGCAAAAGATTTTAATTGAGTTACGAAGATTATCAGTACTTAATTATTGCAAAAAGGCCAATTTAATCACCAACTCAATATAATACTAATTATTCTGGTTTTAAGTTCGGTTTTGTCACAGCTGATGCCAAAGTAACCGTTACTTTTACGATTTAACAATGTAGTTTAACCGACAAAGTAATTATTGGATTCGGGTCTATACTTACTTGTTGTGGGCCCCCGTTTCCGCACGTAGACTCCGTACTTGGTCCATTGTGCGTGCAGGGTATGTTGGGCTAGCTAGCTCAGCCAGCCCAGCTCCTTCCAGAAGCGCAGTAGCCTCCTGGGGCTCTCACAGGCTTCTAGGAGCGTCCTCGGCTTCCTGAGGATTGATGCCCGGTGTTCTGCAACGCTCGTGCATTCCAGGATCACATGAGCGGCCGTTTCATCTGCTTCCAGATATCCTCTGCATAGAGAGCTATCTGTAACGCGTATGGTTAGTAAATGCTTGTTAAGTGGGCAGTGCCCTGTTATGGTACCTAGCATTACTCGGAGATCATTTCGGTTAAGATTTAGTAGTTTTTTAGTTAGTCTGGGGTTGAGGTTGGGAAAAATATCCTTAGATTGCCTGCAGTCCTCGGTATTCGCCCAACGGGTGTTAAGGTTCTGTGTGGTTCGTTGCCGCACCCATGTACGAAACTGATTGAAAGGTAATGGCAGAAGTGGCTCAGGGCCTTCCACTCTCTGTGATGATCCGCTTCTAGCCAGTTCGTTGGCTGCGTCATTACCCACAGAACCGCTATGTCCCTTGATCCATTGGAGGATAACCTTGTTATCCGTTACTATGTACTCCAATGCTAGGTGACATTCGTATACTAGCCCAGAAGTTTTGCTGTTACTATCTAGGGCTCTTAGGACAGCCATACTATCAGATAATATACGTATCTTGTAGTTTTTGACTTTCCTATTAATGACAGCGGTGGCGGCCTGAGTAATGGCTATACATTCACATTGGAATATTGAGCTGTGATTACCCAGTGCTGTTGATATATGGATGTTAAGGTCCAGTGAGAAGACTCCTGCGCCTGATCCGAATTCTGGTATTTTGGATCCATCAGTGTAAATGCGTAGTTCGTCTGTGCCCGACCAGTCCTTGTTGGTTTCTAGTAGTTCTATTTGATATGTTCTATCAAATGTATGAGTAGTCGGGATTTTATAACAACCCGCTGTTACCATAGGTTGGTATTGTATAGCCCTTTCCAGAATTTTGGAGTGAGGTCCCTGGTTTTCCGTCCACAAGCCCAGATGATACATTCTTAGCGCTGCCATAGTTGATTCCTGTTGTATAAAACAGGTCGAGTGGCGGGAGGTCAAGCGCTATTTCTAGGGCGTTTGTGGGTGTGGATTTCATGCAGCCTGTTATAGCAGAGCATGCTAGTCTTTGAAAACGCTGCAGTTTATTAATTGCGGTCTTGAGTTCGGTTCTAGGCCACCAAACTATTGCACCGTAGGTGATGAGTGGTCTGATTATGGTTGTGTAAAGCCTTTTTGTGATTTTTGGTGCAAGACCCCAGGTTTTACCAAGTAATCTTTTGCATTGCCAAAACGTGATACAGGCTTTGTTTATCTTTTGGTCTAAGTGGCTGTTCCATGTTAGCTTATGATCAAGAACTATGTCTAGATATTTGACATCGCTTGACATAGACAGTTGGGTATTAAATAACTTGGGCAATTTAACTGTATCCAAGTTACGTTTTTTCGTGAATATGACCATCTCTGTTTTGGTCGGATTCACCGATAGTTGGTGTTTAGTGCACCAGGTTTCAACTATCTTGAGAGCGTTACTTATTAAGTTGCACAGCACATTCTGGAATGGCCCGCTTATGAGGATAACTAGGTCGTCCGCATAGCCAACTGTGTAGTAGTTGCGTTGATTGAGTTGGCAAATTAATTCATCAACCACAATGTTCCACAGGAGAGGGGATAAAACGCCTCCCTGTGGGCAACCCCGTGCCACTACAGCTCTCTTCGTAGTGTTCACAGTCACTTGTATTGCTCTGTATTTTAGCATGTTGTTGATCCACCCCGCAGTCGTGGGTTCAACTCCATGTCTGACAAGTGCTTGGCTGATGCTGGTAAAGTTTGTTTTATCAAAGGCGCCTTCAATGTCAATGAATGGTTGATTGTTTTGATGATATTCCACGTTCTATTTGTCTGACTACGTAGTGTAATGCGGATTCGGTGGACTTGCCCATGCTATAGGCGTGTTGATTTGCATGAAGTGGTACACGCTTTAGAGCATCATCTCTCAAGTTCCTGTCACACATTCTCTCCAGCACCTTTAGGAGGAATGATGTGAGACTTATCGGTCTGAATGCTTTGGGTTGCGTGTAGTCGCTTTTGCCTGGTTTGGGTATGAATATAACTTTAACCTCTCTCCACTTGGTGGGTATGTACCGATAGGCAAGACATCCTGTGTAGAATCGCAGTAGATGCTCGAGTATCGATTCCTCGCACCATTGCAGTAGGCCCGGAAAGATGCCATGCAGTCCAGCTGCTTTAAAAGGGAGGAAGCTTTTGATGGCTCAAGTTAATGTGTTGATTTTAATGATTTTGCGTGCAGTTGTCCAGTCAGCTGTATCCAGAACCGCGGATATCTCATCTTCGCAGTCTTGGTCGTCTTTAGTATTACAGCCTGGGAAGTGAGTATGCATCAGCAGCTCACAGGTTTCAGCGTCGGTTTTTGTGAAAGTATTATCAGCCTTTTTGAGGTTCGGGATCGCTACTTAGTATTTTCCTCACTCTTGCGACATGATTGTTGTCTTGGATATCGCTACAAATCGCTTCCAGCATTCAGCATTTCTGAATCGGATGCATTTTTTGTAGCGTGACTGTGCCTCCTTGTAGAGGATCCAGTCGTGTTCGAATCTGGTGTTTTTTGCTCTGTTGAACATCTTTCTTGCCCTACGTCGCAACTTTTCCAGTTCAGGACCCCACCAAAGTGTTTGCCTTTGGCTGTTGTGCGTTGCTGTACTAGTGGGCATGATTGTTCATAACAGACGGTTAAAGTCGATGTTAGGTTATTCACATGTGTGTCTATTTCCATTGTATTTTTGTAATCCGCTGGCAAGTGGAGACACTTCAGACTGGCCGTGGTTAGTGAAAAGAATTTCTTGCGGTCAGTCTTACGTGGAATGCGTCGGGGCTCTGGTGATTTATTGTTTATATGAAGATAAAACCTAATCCATCTGTGATCCGAGCAAGATGCTTCGTCGGATACGTGCCTGTCAGTGATGAATTCAGCAATCCTCTCACTGGTTAGGGTAAGGTCGATTATTGTCTGGGCTCTTGATGTTACAAAGGTAGGTTCAGAGCCTCTGTTGATGATTTTTAAGTTGGTTGAGAAAAGGTAGCTAGAAAACTCCTCACCTCTGGTATTGATGTCGTGGCTGCCCCAAAGTGTATGATGTGCGTTGGAGTCAGCGGCGATGATAAGCTCCAGTCCCTCTTGCTCGCAGTGTGTCACCAGCCTTTCCAACTCCGGCATGGGGATTTCAGCGTCGCCCGGACAGTAGGCAGACGCTACAATCACCTCGGGGAGGCTAGGTGTATCACTCAGGAGCCTGATAGCAGTCAGGTCCCTGGAACAGAACTCGGTGATTAAAACGGTTTTCACATGCTTTGGAGCAAAGAAGCATGTACGTGGTTTACTTACGGTAGTATCTAGGAGTATTTTGCCTCCAATGTTGGATAGACCACAGATCCTCTCACCCCTGATCCACGGCTCTTCGATGAGGGCTATGGTCTTGGTGTTTGTCTCCAACACCCGCCGAAGGTTTGCCGTTGCTGTCTGGCTGTGTTGGAAATTGGTCTGAATGATGTTAAAGAGAGGGGCAGGGTTCTTGATCTTCTCCGTGGAAGGTCGATCGGCTGCCCCCGACGAGAAGCGGACGCAGATAGACCCGAGCTTATAGGCAACGCGTCTATCCCTCGCTAGAAGTTTCGCCACATCATCCTGGGGGATACCCACCAGGATGAACAGCTCCTCCTTCTCCTCCGTCTTCACAGCGTGGTACAGCACCCATTGGTTAATATTGTACCACGGATTCTGGGCGGCCAGCCTCATCCTCAATTGGTAGAGGTTTTCGCCCTTGTACCGTGGCACAATAATGGAGGCCTTCACCCTCTTCGGAATCTCCGATTGACG